ATGTAGATATTTGTACCAATGTATTTATAGCCAATATAATTAGGCAGAGATTCGACTAGCGCTGCGTACAAATATTTTAAACATATAAGATTTCAGATAGCAAATGATCATGTTCTGATGATAGGATAATAGTTTTGTAAACATTCTCTTGATTTAAACTATTTATGATTTCATTCGCTCCTACTGGGAAAAAAATATTTCCCGTTGAACTCTAATGATTAACTACATTTATAAATTAATACAATAATACACATACAATACACATAATAATACAATAATACACATATACAATGATAAGTTACATTTTCAAATTAATTAGATGTGCGTTATTGGATTTCAAAAAAAAAAAAAAAACTACTTCCATGTAAAAAAAATAAGATATCTCTGTGTATTATGCTGTTACACGGCGGTATCTCTAGAAATTTGTAAAGTAGTGCAAAAGTGGATGCTATTTCATTGAGAAATGACCGATTTCTCGCGAACAAACAAAAAAATGGATTATTTGTAACATAAATTTTTTTTTGTGAATCTAAACTTTTTTTATGAATTTTAGGGTGCATATTTTAATGTGAAACATAAGGGAAGAAATTCTACTACCCCAAAGTACCAAGTTCAAAGCCTACGTCGACTCAAACATGTTATGTTTCAATAAAAGGACTAGTAAAGTTTCCTCACAGTCAAGAATTTCTTTGATTTTAAATATTAAATTACTATTTTTTCTAAACATATGAATCGGTGGTCGCAAGGACCGAAAGAGCGAAACATATCTCTTACCTACAAGTACTTTATAAATTGTGCTCTCAAGGACCGAAAGAGCAAAATAATATCTCTTAGCAACAAGTGCTTTATAAATTGTGCTATCAAGGACTGAAGGAGCGAAACTATCTCTTAGCTACAAACACTTTATAAATTGAGTGTCTAGTTTCTCTTTTTGCCAATATTAAGTTAGCAGGGTTCTTTCTCGCGAATAACTAGCGGACAATTAAAGTGTCCTCCAGCAAAAGTAATAAACACTCTCCCTCTGTTCTAAATTAATTGCTACATTTAAAAACTTTTGTACTGATTATTGATACTGATGATTTCATAATTTAGTTTGAATGTTCTTCAGAGATTTCAGGGTGCTATATCAATCAACATTTCCTTGCCAAGCATTCTCTCCTTAAATCAGCACCAAAATAGTTTCAAAAATCCAGGTATCGCACGCTTTTAAGACACGCCCTATTTTAAAAGTACTCCTTCCCCAGCAATCACATAAAATTATCTTTTAGCTAATGAATCTGGAATTAATTGTAACATAATTGTACTGATGTCGATCAACTAAACGGCATTGGAAATGATTTATGATTTCACCTACTTGAAATGTAGCAACTAATTCGGGACAAAGGAAGTATATTTGGCTACGAACATGCATTTGGCATGGTTTATCGAAAAAATTTTTATAACAAGATTAGTCATAACTTTAGCAACCATTTCTTCCTGCTTTTCATTACAATCATATCAAGATTTAAGTAAATATTTTTTATGCCCTTTCTTTAAAATATCTTTTTAAATTATCTACTTAAAAACAAATAGAAAATGTCTTAAAAAGTGTTTTTCGTTGATCTGTTATACCTATGCACAGTGAGTTATTACAAACACGTGAACACGTGTGTTTATAGTGAACACGGTTTATAGAGAACTCCCAGATATAGTGAAAAAAATGTTAGATCCCGTGCCTTGCTATGCACGCATAATGTTATTTTTTGTGGATATAGTGAACCAAAAAAGTGAGGAAGTTGGATATAATGAACTTTTTTCTGTCCTCAAATGATTTTTTTCTAGATTTTTTTTGTAATAATTTTGAAATTTTTATTTTAAAATAAATACATATACCGATTTTTAAACCAATCTATCGAGGGGAATTTAGCGATAAGCTTCTTTTATCTCACTTTCCCATCCCTAAACANGAGGGGAATTTAGCGATAAGCTTCTTTTATCTCACTTTCCCATCCCTAAACAAACCAAGCAGATATTTCCAACCCTGGTAGATAATGCACCTGTAAGGTGTCAGTGGGATCAATATGCATTTTTTACAAACATAAATTTTTTACAAAAGATTACAAATTGTTTAATTAATTTTTTCTTTGTAAGCAAGACGAAAAGTAATGAAAAACAACACATTTTCCGCTACTAAATAATATTTTTCAGTTATTTATTTGAATGATGTGTAATAAAAGGGAGGAGTTTGGGAACCATTAGTTAAATTTCCTGCTTAACGGATATAGTGAACTCCCGGTTATAGTGAACCAAAATTTTGGTCCCTTGAAGGTTCACTATAGCGGGGTTTGACTGTATATTTAAAATTGATTATGTGGGACTATCTCAACTAGCTGCAATACAGGTATTTACTGCCTTGCCAACGCTGCTATAGACATGGTTTTGATAAGAAATGAAGAAAAATTATGTTTATGATGGTGAATTCTAGAAGCCAAGCAATTCTACATGAAATCCTCACCCAGCTCGCAACTGACCACAGTGTTGAAGTAAAATATACTCAGTGGTAGACGGATTATTGACCAGAAACCTCTTACCGTCGGACTGACCAAGGAAGATTTTCAACTTGGTGTAGTGCAAATGAAAGATAGTTCCATCTAAACATCCTCCACGAATGCAAATTTTTCTCAATACTTGATCCAGGAGTTCCCTTGTCTTCTGGGTCCAAAATCACAAGATTGCAGAGTTGAACATTAGTAGTAAACCGGCGAATGGAACTAAATTGGACCGGCTGTACAACGACGGTTATAAAATAAAATGTAGAAATTTCCTTTAAAAGCTCCTTTCTTTCAACTAATTTCTTTAAAATGTAGTGATTACAAACATGCTGTTAAAATATTATCATTGCTTAAATACTTTTATGAGATGAATTTCGCAGAATACAATTTACACTCTCTATTAAAAAAAATTTCTAAAATTTAAATAATGAAAAAATAGGGCTTAAAATAACAAATTTGATCATTTATTTCTAACTAACTTCTTCCATCCTTCAATACTTTTTGTAAAAACGAATATTTACTTCAAGAAATGAAAAAAGGTATCAAATATTCATGACGTTAAGTCTTAAATCTTAAGTTAACTGAGGGGAAAACTAAGTAAATTGCATCAGTGATATTCTCATTGATGGATCGCATTGATTCGAAAAATTATACTAGTATATAGAACCTTGCTTCCTTATTAAACTAACGTTAAAAGTAGCTGCAAGAAATCATTACTAACTAGTGTTTTTATAATATTACACTACATTACTGTTTTAAAAAGTAGTGCATTACACAACTATGAAAAAAATTTGTAAATTCAGTAGTTTTGTTGGTCACAACCCCATGACAATATTTAGCGGCGGCAATCAATTTCTCAGATAGTAATGCCTACTCTCAAGATGTGATGTGATGCTCAATCTAAATCAAATGAATCACATGTTTGCATTCAAATTTTGTTTATTTACACAAAAATACTTGGTATGTATACAAAAATAACTAGTGGTCTGTATTGTTCACAAAAAATACAACTTTATGTGAATAACAGTTTTATTTTACAAAGAAAAAAAAAAAAGAGAGAGAGAGAGAGACTTTTTGACAAATTGTAAGCATATGGCATAAATTGTCATTTATTACATTCTGAACAAAAAGGTATACTTTAAATGCTCCATATTTTTTTCTTCCTTACTTTATAATAGCCTTTGAATGTCAATCCTAATTAGAATATAAATATTATGAACTTGAACAATTAAGAAGAAAAATTAGACTGGCCCTATGAACTTTCCAAGAATCTCAATTAAAAACTGAAACAGCACATATCACTTTTTTCAAATTGTTAAAAGAAGATTAATAATAAAATATTATCACCCAATTATTAGAAATAATACTTTTAGATAAAAAGAGAGACAAAAACTAAAATAAAATATGGTAAATATTTTGAAGTACATAAGAGTTTAAAATATTGCTTAAAATTTAATATTCTGTGAAATTTTGCTTTAGATTTTGTTGAGCATACTTATATTCATTTAATATAAATTAAGTGCAGCAAAATTATAATTTGAAAAACAAAAATATCTACATCACATTCCAATTTAAGAAAGGCTGGAAGCTTAATTGTATTGCAATAATTAGTTGAAAAGAAATCTAAACAAACAGTAAGATCTAATCAAGATAAAGTAGTGAAAGCAAAAAGAGGTAATTTTCCTCATTTTGATTGGAGACTGACTATATATTAATATTTTCCAGTTGAAAAGAAAATTTTTTAGTGAATAGGTGAAAATTAAATAATACTAGATGAAAGAAGATAAAAATAAAAATGCCAAAACTTGTATTTTGTTCAACCAAGTTTAGGAGACAAATGCTATAAAATATTACGTTAGCATAAAAAAATATTACGTTAGCATAAATCGTTCCTAAAAGATGGAATAGCATTTTGCAAAATTATCAGAAACTTTATAACTTTGAGTACAAACAATTGCTTTGCTTATATAACTTATGCAATCACATTNACCGAAACCAGTCTTAAAGAGGGACCCCGCACCCCTACTTGAAATAATCATACCTCGTTACCATAGTCCCCGCCACCCCTCCAGACAAATGGCGGACAGAGTACCTATCGTAGACAAACAGTAATTCTAGTAAAGTATGCTTTTTATATGTTTTTAAGTAAGCTTTTTCATTTTAATATGAATTGTATGTGGTATACTCGTATAAATGTTGTATTTGTTAAATATATTACATTTATACCTACTCTTTTTCTTTCCTTTTTGTACTCTTCGTTTTAACCGAATTTTTCAGCTATCCGAGTTAGTCGCGGTCCACATTAACTCGGATAATTGGGACTCTACTGTATAAGAATTATGTGCTAAAAGATAACTTAAAATTTGCCTCTGAAAATCGTAATTATTTTTAGTCAGGTATATTTGAGTGGGATTATTTGTTGATTAATTCTCAATATGAGTAATACTTTGTCTAGTAATATGCATGTACTTAAGGCATGCCTAACCTTTTATTTTGAAAATTAGCAATATTTACTCAATCAAACATGGGATATAGGTATTAATTACAATGCTTACAAGAAATACAACTACAAAACAAAATTGTCAAAAAGCAAAGTTAAATCAAGAGCACAAAATTAGTCTCAAAAATAATATCAATTGAAAATGTTGCAATAAAAAAGAAAATGAAAATTTTTCAAACGTTTCAATATGTTGATAAAAGTAAATAAAATATTCGTACCACAAAGGAAAAAACCGAAAAACATATTTAAAAAACTAAAAAGAATAAAGACAATATCACAAGCTGTACTTTCCTAACTTCAATTAGACACAGCAAAAACTGAACAAAAGTACATAATGAATAATTTCATACACTAAAACATAAAATATACGTTTGTGTGCTAGTTTTTTTTGCAAAAATATAAAATAAAAATAATGCTAAATCGCAATTTTCGTATAACTGTTACAGTTTAACTTGAAAAACTAAGCACAACATTTGCGCACCAAAATAACATTTAACTTCAGCACACTATAGGCAAATTATATTTCGCTTTCATTGGTGCCCTCTAACTGCAACATATATCGCTTTAATTAATAGATAAAACAATATATCGTAAAATATTAAATTAATTATAATTTTGATACATTTTATGTCAAATGTGCATACTTGCATATACCCTCCAACACTAGGAATCTTTGTAGTTTCAGAAAATAATTTTCCTTGTAATATTAATTAAAATAATATTGATCAATTAAAATTAAAAGAATATTATATACCACTACAGATGAATAATTTAAATAGATACATCAAAAGTCAAATAGTGTGTAGATTAGTTTTTTTAAATTCTATTAAAAGCTTTATAAAAATTCTATTTATTTTAACGATTTCTGCTTAGCTAATTGCCACTAGAAAAATATTTTGATGAAATCTCAAATATTGGAGGGTATGCTTACACAAGGTGCGTAGCCAAATTATTCAACAAAAAATAAGCACTTTTCAAGCACTAAAAATTATTTTTAAGCACTCATTAAAAATTATCATAACTAGGCAGGGTTGGAAAATAATTGACAGTTGACGGTTTAACTTGTTTTAACCATCATGCCAAAAAAATATCTTATGGCATTGTTGTTGACATTTGTCAAAAATCATGAATTTTTGAATCACGTAAAACAAATGGTGTTTTCATACGCTACCGACTGACAATACGGCGAAATAGTGGGGTAGAATTAATTGAGAAAATGTTGAACAGAACAATGTGAACTGTGTCATTTTGCACAATCCGTAACGAAAACCAACATGGTAAATGAAGAATCTCATTTTGAAAAAGGAAAATTTAAGCACTTTTTAAAACACCCCATGAAAAAAGCACCTTTAAGGGCTTTTAAAAACGAAAATCAAAAATAATCACCTTTAAGAACTTTTTAAAAACGCTACGCACCCTGTTACATTACATACGAAAAATGAACACTAACTCAGTAAAAAAAAAAGCTTCCAATTGTTAAATAATCATTCATAGATTGCTAACTGAGTATATTTTAATAGGAAATAAGTTGATTGCTACTTTCCAAATGTGCTAACAGAAAATATAAAACACAACTCAGAAGCAATTGAATTTACATGAATTTAGACTAAGCACACTACTGTCCGAATCAGTTAATTACATTAACTAATTATCAAATGAACAAAATAAAACCATAGTAAGCATTTTACTTAAATATAATAACAAAAATTGTTTTAGTTTTTCTTCAACTTAGGTAAGTTTTTATTCTATTTTGAACAGGCAGGCGACAAATTGGACACTTGAAAACCCGATGACTGCAGACGTCACATGACATTAGATGGCCACAAGGCTGGAAAGCTATACTCATTTCATTTGTCAAGCAAATTTTGCACAAAAATGCTTCTCTTGAACTTTTTACAGCATTATAACCTGTAAGAAAAATTGAGACAGTGTTAGAGAAATATAAAATTCTTACTTCAATTATTTTTTAACACATAATATTTCTTTATTTTATAAAACAATGTGCACAAAAAGAAAAAAAAATGGAATGAATTTAAAAACAATACAAAGAGTGAAGCCAAGAATTGGTTGAATTATGTTGCTTATTCAAATTATTTGTCTTAGTTTTCTACCAAATCATAAAAAAAGCCTATTTAAAAAAAAAAAAAAACTATTCTTTAGTTATTTTATAATAATCATGCCTATGAACCATACTAAATTTTATTAACTTATTACTTCAAAATTATGGTCATAATTTACAACTTAATTATAATTATTTACAATTATAAAATGAAAAACTGACATTACAATAGCATAGATGCCAACTTGCTCCGAAGAGCAAATATGTATTTTAAAGAGGTAGTTTATCAATTGTGATTCTTGGTTTAATAAATTCAATTCAGTAGAATTTTATCCACCACTATTTCTAAATAATTCGTAGGTTTATATGATTCACCACTTTATAGTACTTATGTCATGCTATAGTTTTAAAAAGCAAGCAAAAACAGTCAAATATTTGCAAAATTTACTTTGTAGTTATTTACCGTTTTTTATTTTAAATTATTTTGGTGTGTCCGAAGCAGTTGGCATCTCTGCAAGAGCAAAATTTAATCTACTTATTATAAAAAATGACCCAATTTTCATTAAAAATATATTTAGGCAATTTAATTCAACAAACAAATTTCACTAATAAAAACTACACAAATAGAATTCTTTGTATAGTTTTTGTAATACAGTTTTGTAATACAGAATTTTTTACTAATTTTATTGCCTAACTGAAGAAGTAATTGTTTAACATTAAGAACACAACATTCCATGAATGCTTTAAAAAAAAAAAAAAAAGAGCTTTATCATGTCTTAGACTCTGCCCAGAACGAGCACACAACAGCTACAATTATGCCGCTCGTCACGAAACTGATAATGAACTGAGTCTTAACCCTTAAGACCCCTTGGTCCACAACAGGCTGTTTTGGGAATGCTTAACTTTTTTAAAAATGCTTATATAAACTTATGATATTTGCACTATATATTCCATATATTGTGCAAACATAATCAGAAGCAACTTAAAATTTAAAAAGTGTTGCGAATTTTGAAATATAATTGATATAGTTGCTAAACAAAAATATTGCTTATCTATTCCTGTCAGAATACAATATCAAAATAGTGATAATTTTAAACATAAAAAAAATTTTTAAAAAAAATAGAAAAATATATTTTAATTCACAACAATTTCTGCAATTATTATCACATCAATTTGATGAAAAATTATGAACAACTTATATTGTTCTATATTTCTAATTTGTTCTAATTTTATTCTTATTGTATATATAGCACTGAACATAAAAGTAATTTGATGTTAAAAAAAAAAAGCAAAATACCTGTTTTAATAGGATCTTCAGAAGCATGTGTCTGTTCCTTTTCTTTTGGGGTAGTACTTAATCTGTAAAAAATTCGAACATTTTATTTTAAAACAATGCTTCAAAATTCCAAATTTATAAAAATTTAATAGAATTTATAGTAATATTACACTAAATTTCAGCAATTACAAAATTTAAACACTAATTGTTTGCCTAGCTACATTTTGGTATAATTTGTTTTTCATAAAAATAAAACTATTAAAATAATGTAACGAATTTTGAATCTTGTATCAATTCGCAATTGTTCATAAATAAACCAAAAATAAATTTATTATAGATTACACTGCTAATTTTTATCGATGATATCCTAGTATAATATAAAAAAAGAAACTTAATATGGTACAACTTATTCAACTCTATTTTAGTACTGTATGCATAGCTGCCAACATTGGATTTTCAAAAAAAGGAAGATATTANAACAAAAAAAAATATTTGGTAATAATCTTAAAAAGAAGAAAAAACGATGAAGTAATACACTAATGATTATTTCCAAAATGATTGTAAGGTAAACATCTTTCAAAAATGAAAGAAAAATCCTAAAATTTTATGAGCGAAAAAAAAAAACATTTTTTTTTTTTAAATTGGCGGGAAAATTTATCGAATTTCGTTCCGGTTTTTTGGTTTTCCGATTTTCAGAATTCCGGATAACGGGTTCTGTACTGTAATATTACACTAAATTTCAGCAATTAAAAAATTTAAACACTAATTGTTTGCCTCGCTACATTTTGGTATAATTTGTTTTTCATAAAAATAAAATTATTAAAATAATTTAACGAATTTTGAATCTTGTATCAATTTGCAATTGTTCATAAATAAACCAAAAATAAATTATATTTTATTATAGATTACACTGCTAATTTTTATCGATGATATCCTAGTATAATATAAAAAAAGAAACTTAATATGGTACAACTTATTCAACTCTATTTTAGTACTGTATGCATAGCTGCCAACATTGGGTTTTCAAAAAAAGGAAGATATTAAAGGCTATAAAATTTCAACATATCTTTTCTCCAGAACACAGTTAAATTTGGGGATATTTAAAGATTTTTAAGACAATTAAGAACACTTAGGAACATCAATTTTAATTATTTTTCAAAGTTTGATCTGTGCACGATTTGGCTTTCTTTAAAAAATTTTCATCAAATGTTACATTGTAGCAATTTTGATTTTTACAAAAATAAGCAGCTTGTAATATTTTCTCTAGTCCTCATCACTAAGAGATGACCTAAACTATGATTCAAAAATGATTTCACTAAAAACTAACATAAACTACTAACTAAATTACTTTTCAAAACTAAGATTCAAAAACGTAGATAACAAAGCAAAAAAACGCATGCAATTTCTTCACGATAGTAAACATTAGCTCTGTTGCCAGATGCAATCAACTCAATTTGCTTTTTAAAAAATTCGTCTGCGTTCGGTAGCCGAGTGAAACGTTTTCTCCCTGATCTATATTTAGGGAACGTTCTCACGGCCGATCAGATTCTTAAATGCAGGTACGCTTCCGTGTGTGTTTCAGCTTCTGCGTCGTTGCTTTGATTTTCTCCCTTGACCGAGCATGTGCCGAGAAGATGTAGGAATTTGATTCCTGCTCTAAAAAATGCGTTCGGGTACATATTCGACGGCTCTGTTGTAAAAAATATGAAATAAAATGGAATTTTTTTCTTCTTTTAATCGAGGAAAATCGGAAGATTAAAATAAAAAAACGGAAGGCGGGAGTTTCGATAAAAAACCGGAGTTGGCAGTTGTGTATGTTAATTTCAATAATTAAAAGTTTGCCTAATTTATTAAAAGCTTAATTATTAATTATTAAAAGTTTTCATAACAGAGTGCAAGCAAAAACTAATTAACATACCTATTTTATTTTTTTAAAAAAAGTAGTTTGCTAATTAACTTAAAAAAGCAAAAACCCCAGAATTGTTTGAATTTTTTTCCCTCAGATCACTTTGCATGCTCATTCCACCTATCTGATTCACAGTAAGTTTAAGTGGATTGAAATTCATTCTTCTGCACTAATTTAAAGATAGTAAATTTCATGTAAATTGAAAATCTTAACAAATTTAGCCATTAATGTTAGTTTATGTGACTTGAATTGTATATTTTAAACTATTTAACTACGCATTTAACAATTAATACATTACCAAACACAGTAAATCAATTTCAAAGAAAAAAACGAAAGAGAATTTTCAAAAATCTCTATGTTAAATTGAAATAAATATTAACCTCCAAAATTAAATAATAAATAATTATAGATGGTTGAAAAAAGTTCGATTAATGCAATTATTTTTTAAATCATTTGTTATTGTGCTTTTTTTAATGCTTTTTTGTGTGTATGCTTTTTTTTGTGCCATAAAATGCCATTAAAAAAAGAAACTAATTACTCTAAAGCAAATTAGAAATCTTACAAAATGTGATGCAGTGCTCATCATCAGATCTAACAGTATCTGGCTGTAAAAAAAACTCCTGCAACTAATGTTTCCCAAAATGAATTAAGTGGCATAGAAAAATCTTCATTAGATAACTTAAAAACTAGTGACAAAATTAACAAAATCGCATTTGAACGTTCCTTAAACATTTTTCTAAAAATAAGGAAAATGCAATAGTTTAAATCTAATAGCTTTTACAATGTGCAGCAAAATTTTTTAGGAACAATGGTGACACAAGTATAAAAAAGTTTTTCACATAGATGGAAACAAATATAAATATTAAAGTTTCTTTTTTGTTATGTCAAACATGATATAACAGTCATCGAAACCTTCTAAAAAATCAATATTTCAACAACTATGCACAACTAAAAAAATATCAAATGCACTATTTAACATAATTTCAAAAACAAAAAAGTAATATTTACCTTATTTTCAGTTTCTTTTCTTCATATTGTAATACTTTATCACATAAATGTTGAAGAGAAGAGAAGCTTTCACCGGTTTCATTTAAATGTTTGCAAACCACTTCTTCCACCAACTGAGAAGGAAAAATTTCTTTGGCCTTGAGAACAATTTCTGTTTTTAAAATATCAGTAAGGGATGGTTTAGGGGATTTCCTTGAAATCATCTCCTGTAAATAAAGAGTTAATTAATAAAAATATCTGGCGGTGTTTAGGACGTCCCAATCTACAACTACAATTCAATCTACAACTATAGATGGCAATAAAGATCGCTATCTGTAGTTGTAGACTGGCCTTGACATTTTTTTAATAGTATCATGGAAATGGAATTACGAGAGAATTGAACATATTCAATGACGAAGGCAAGATTGTGTGGGAAGTGGATATTTGATGCTATGATGTATATGACTGTGTTGAAACTGCGCATATCACTAAATTGAGGAAGTTGTATCGGAGGTGAATATTTGAGGTGATGATTTTTATTTGCGCAAATGGGAGAATAGTATTGATGCAATGAATGTTTATTGGTGTTTTGTTCGGATGCAACATTTTTTGCAAAAATTTAAGTATTAAATTTTGGCTTCAGAATTGAATTTCGTGCGATTCTGCGGAATGAACATGCAAACAGTATATTTGTCGTATGTGAAAACAGTTAAAATGATTTCACAGTAATTTTTTTATACATTTTCTAAAACAATGATTGGAGATAGGTATAATTTCAAGGTATTTTGAAGTAATGATGTAGGATACACGTTTTAAAAGTGAGTGAGTAGCTTCAAAGTGTTTATTACTGTTTCTTTTTTTTTTTTTAATATGCCTGTCTAGTGTCATTAAATAATAGTTTTGTGTCTATATGTCGAGCTTTTTAAGGTTAAGTGCAACAGCCCGGTATACATATGTTCAATGTGCTTTTGCATGTTATATTGTCTATGTTTTTGCCTACACAAATTCTCGGCGACAATCGCAAAAACCTCACATCAGCATTTGCACAAGCATATACTGGGACAGGGGTGGCGAACCTTTATGCACCAACGTTGCATTTTTTCAAAAAATTGTTTAATGAGGTCATAGATGTGCCGTCAAATAATTTTGACTTCTTGCTTATTGGGAAAACAATACTAAATTCCATCAACTGAAAACTCCTTCTTTACTATGAAAAAAAAAAACATTTTGCAATGTCTCAGTTCAATTCAACTTAAAGTAACATTAGTGTGACTTCTCTTGTTGCAGATTAGAAGACAAATGACTTATATTAGGTTGTAAGATGCTAGTTTAAGCAGAACTGTTAATGCTTTTGTGCTAGTTATTTATTGTTAGTTTGTTTTTTACAGTTATTGTTATTTTGGCATTAAATTGTTAATTTTTTGAAGTGAAACTTCTAATGCGACTTCCAACAAGGTTGCGTTAAACGTTTAACGCTACCATGGCAATGAGTGGCCTGTGATCCTTGCAGGAGATTTTAATGTGAATTTCTCGTTACCTGAAGCTGAAACACTATTAACCTTCCTTAAAGACAAATTTGGATTGGAAATGATAAATGGTAGGAATGATCCAACAGGGGGAACTATCATTGATGCAGTTTTTGCAAGTAATATTGAAAAAATAGAACTCAAACATTTCGTATCGTACTTTAGTTATTATAATCCCATGGTAAATGTTATAGATTTGGATATTTCTCCACTCGAAAATGATAATTAAGATTCGATCAATTGCGAATTGCAAGCAATGTTAATAAAGTTTGTCTTAAAGAAACAATATGATTTCACTAAAAATCAATTTCTACCCCTTCCTATTTTCATTTCCACATTACGAAGTTTTACTTTTTCCGCGCGGAGGGAAACCAGGCATTATTTTCTGTTAATTGTTTTTTTTTTTTTTGTTGTTAATTTTAATTTAATTGTTAATATGCTTCATAGTGAACTTTGTGATCGGTGGCATGCCCAGAATATTGTGTCGCGTGCCATTGGTTCGCCATCCATGTACTAGGATTTTACCAAATTAAAATTTAAAAATTTCATCAAAAATTTATAAAAATGAAAAATTATTATATAATATNCAATTGTGAATTGCAAGCAATGTTAATAAAGTTTGTCTTAAAGAAACAATATGATTTCACTAAAAATCAATTTCTACCCCTTCCTATTTTCATTTCCACATTACGAAGTTTCACTTCTTCCGGGCAGAGGGACTCCAGGCATTATTTTCTGTTAATTGTTTATTTTTTTTTTGTTTGTTTTTGTGAATTTTAATTTAATTGTTAATGTGCTTCATAGTGAACTTTGTGATCGGTGGCGTGCCCAGAGTATTGTGTCGCGTGCCATTGGTTCGCCGTCCCTGTACTAGGATTTTACCAAATTAAAATTTAAAAATTTCATCAAAAATTTATAAAAATGAAAAATTATTATATAATATACATACTGGAAAAGTGTTTAAGGGCTTTCTTGTCTTTTTTCTTTCTAGGGAGCTACCACTGATAACAAAATGGAGAAATATACAATTTGGATAGAGTTGTGAATGCTTGGACATAGGTTCATCATTTGGTTCCCAATCTCCAAGAGAAATTCCACAGGAAAAACAAGTTACAACATCGTCCACACCTTAAAAAAAAAAAAAAAAAAAAATTAAATTTAAAGAATCTTTAATTTATATTCAAAAAAGTTTAACATTTAAAATACTAAACAAAGACCTTGCTTGAAGCACTAGCCAAGTTCACTTCATAAAAAAATGGATATTCATGTACAAGCAGCCATATAGTTGGAATATTTTTTATGGGGTATAAACAGACCTTGACTTTATCAGGAGGAATAAAATTCATTTTGGAGTGAAAGACGTAATTACAGAGAACAATTTCATACCAAAAAATAAATAAATAAATTTAAAAAAAGAAAAAACAATATTATGATAAAACATAACTTAAATTGATTTCATAATGCCAAAATTGCCATATTTTGTATGAAAAAAAATGAAACAAAAAATTTAAAAAATTTTACCTAAAATTTAAATCTTTTTTCTTCAGTTTTCATGAATTTAACAAATCAAATCTTTATCAAATATGAACTTTCAAACATAAACATTTCATTCTTTATATTCAGTTCCTAGCTCTGATATTCAAATTAATATTTCTAACTGCTTTCAGACAAGTTTTTTCTTTTTTAGTATATATTTCTTTTATTACCTTTTAATTCTTTTATTAGTATATAACCTGTTCAGGATTGAAAACTAAACTTCAGAAAAATATAGGCAATTTTTGCCTATGAAAAATTAAGATTTAATTTTTTGTATCTCTTTCAGAAAGAAAAATAAAATTTCGAAGCAGAGTTAAGTTACTTGGAGATTTAAACTCAAACTTTTTTTAATGGAGATACACTTTTGTTACATGCGCCATCAAAATTCTTTCAAATTTTATCTCCATTATCATACATAATAAAAATATAAATGACAATAGAGATACCTCAGAGATAACCTATAACAAATATCCAAAAAAAGTCCTACAGCATAAACAACTTGTAAACAAGATTAAAAATATTGATAAAAAATTAAAAACATGATTAAGAATGATTTGCATGCAAAGCTTGTTAATAAAATAAATATTAACAAAACTTCAGACAGTGTAGAAAAATTTCACAAGAGTTTTATAAAAATTTTATTTACGTATTTCTTATCAGTAAAAGTTAAAATTTTTAAAAAAATCAGAGAAAAAAATTATATTCCTTGAAGAGAAAAAATATCATTAAGAACAACACATGAAACATCAAATTTAATGTGAACTTGTCGTATTTGACACAAATTAGTTGCACATGTCATACATGCTCAACATAAGCTTGTGAAAATTGTTAATTAACATACTTTTACTACATTTTTTTCTAACATGATTGTTTAACACTACTAAACGGAATCTTTTAGACCAAAGAGAAAAAATAATAATCTCAATAACACTTATTAGATATTAATAGAATATATTAGATATATTCTATATACTACATCTAATATATTAGATATTGATAGAATTTATAGATATACATTATATAAATCTATAGATATTTATAGAATCTCAATAACACAATATAAGGGAGGAATTATTTTACCTGTATAAAATAACCCGCACACAGCAAGATCTTCTACACTAATCATTGTAACAGACCATCCCTTGTAAGTTGATAAACGTTTCTTAACATCTGACATCCTTGGTATTTTTGCCCTCTGAGGTCTTGAAGAATTGAAAAGTGGAGTACAAAAAAAACTTAAATTAGATGTTGGTATATTTTTCTTAGGATCAGCAGTTTTTTTCAAACTTGAAAGAAAGCAGCATTTTGAAGAAAACTTTTGATGTTGATCTAATGGTTCATCACCAACTGCCCACTTGGCAAGAATAAGTTTGCAGAACGCACACTGGACTTTGTCATCAGATAATAAATAGAAAAATCCACATTTAGCGAGATCATTCATGGCAATGAAATCAAGTGGCCATTTACCGTTGAAAGAATTTAATCGATTCCCTTCGTTTTTCATGATTTCAAATAAGCCTATGTTTTCAATAATTGAGTCTGATACCGATTTTTGCAAATTGTTGTAAATAGCGAGGTTGGAAATGGAATTCATCTTGTATATTTTCAGTACTGACAATTTAAAATAAGTGGAGAAATAAAAATGCAGAATGGATCATGCTTCTCTATTAAGATTATTTAAAACCGTAAGATGCTGAGGTGGGTTTTCCATTCTCCCTAAAAGAAAGAAAAAAAATCATTGAATATTTTTAATCATATTCCTCACAATAAATCTGGGAAATAACTTTGATTTTATTTCCATTCTTCTTTTCTTAATATTATTAAGTTGCTTCAGCTTTTGCTACAATAGTCAACTACACTTAAGAGACGCCACTGAACAGAGCAGTTTTCGCAATGAAGTATTGCATTTATGTATGCTGATATTTAAATTTTCTTATTTAAGTATTATATAACAATTTAAGTGGAGAGTGTATTGATTCAAATATATTATGTAAATCAAACATATGTGGCAAACCTTAAAAATTAATAACCGTTACTCTTGTTGAATTTTGCTTTTGTACCAAACAAATACTTCACTTCTAAATACCACACATAGAAGAACCTTATTTCAATATACAAAACATATTAAGCATTTTTAAAACATACTTTTAGTGGTATTAATCCAACCTGATTTTGAATCAATCAATGGAATATTAACCAGGGCCAGAGTGAAGCAGACAATGCCGATTAAAAAACGGTATAACGCTTTTGTCGGCTAACTATGGGCCTATTACACAGAGCATCATGTGGATACCGGCTAAATATGATGCTTCGGTCAATAATTGTATTGGAATGGTTAAAATATAAAAAATTACAGAATAAAATATTGTGAAAAAAATTCTGAAAAATTCATAATTCTCAATATTTAATTCTATCAGAAGAAGTTTAAAAAAAAAAATTATTTAATCAAAGTGATCTGATTTATCAATTAGGATATTAATTTATTAAAACAATTACCAAGACTTGAAATAAAGACTTCAAACAACTCATCTTCATCAAAGACTGTATTTTTGGGCAACAATCTGTAATACAAAAAATAATAAGCATTAATATATTATGCATTACTACATAAAGAAATATAATTTGTCCTAATTAAACATTTTATAAAAACAACTTTTAAGCTTTCTCTTATGGCTGCTACATAAAATAGACCAGAATAAGAGGTTTTCAGAGTGCCTCTTTTAAAAGGTTTGTTAAATTGAAATAAAAATTGAATAAAAATAAAACTGATAATATAATGAAAAGTCTCAAAATTGATTTAGAAATATAATAAAATTTTGAATTCTATTTATTGATTTCGTAAATAATATAAGAAAAAGAATTTTTAAAGTTAAAAAAAGAAAGATATAATTATTGAGAAAGAAATGCAATGTACATTAACACAATGATCTACATAAAATTTTCGTATTAAGTACACCATAACTACCATTTTAATTTCGTAGACGCTCTTATTGTAGGTTCAAAGAAAATTTTGTTTTAATGAAATTTAATTGTTAAGCTCCAATGTATGTTCAAGAGCAGTGTATCATTTCGGTTACTTCCTAATATAGGTTTAAATTACAAAAAATGAACAGTAAAAACTTTCTTATACCTACATACTACTTACAATACAATAGTTTATTAATCAAGCAATGGATAATTTTGGAGGGAGTTTTGCCTCCCAAAATTACGCCATTGTGTATGATACCAGGGGTCTGTCTAGGTTTTTCTGAGAGGTACCTATTTTGTGAAAATTTAGACATAATTTGTGAAAATTAAAAATTATATTAAAAAATCAACACAAAAACATAGTAAAAATAAAATTTTAAGAAAAAGTATTTTGTGAAAGTTTTTCCTAAAGTTGAATCTGTAACGGTACCACTAAACGGTAGTAAATTCGGCCTGGACAGATCCCTGGATATCAATTAAATAAATTTTTCGAACTTTTAAGATATGTTTTTTGGGCACTTTCTTGAGTTTTTTGATATCCTATTTCAATTGAAAACCTGAAATTGAACATGCATCATTTGATATATTTCTTAAACAGTGATAACTTATCAACTTTTAATTTTGATGCAAAGAGAAAATTGGAGACAGACTTAAGGTAATAAATAAATTATACTAGTCACTAAACCTCATTAAAAATGCTATTATGAACCAAATCTGAAGAAAAAATAAAAGAAAAAGATATCAAAATGTGGAAAGATCAATACAGATCTCTTCAAGGCTATGGATCCCATATTTACCTATAGAATGTATACCTCTGCAGACGATATAATACATTTTTCAATTTCTTTTGAATTGTTTCCTATTCGGAATAGTTGAACATGATTTCCACTTCCAGCAAAGCCATTCAAAGTTACTTTCAGTAACATGAAATTCCTTTTGGAACATAGGCGACTCACTAGCTTCATTTGTGAGGGTGAATAGTTGGCTCAAATGCATAATCCTTCAATACATATATTCCGTGCAGTGGCGCTTTCGAAAGCGACGATAAAAAGTTAAAAAGAAGTCTAACTTCTTAAAATAAATGGAAGATGAGTAGACATAGACAGGTCATTTGAAATCAATCTAAGTCCATGAATAATAGACTTTTAAATCAAAGATCATAAAAACAAATTATTGTAACAGCATTATATACATAATAAACTAAACTCAGTGGCGCAACAGCCCATGGAGGGCCAAGGCCTACTGTGCCCATCTCAGTTTTCTTGACCTTGGGCTCCGGGGTACAGGAGCAGATGTTCCGGTCAGGTGGTCAGCCGAACGCGGAACCCCCAGTGTTTAGTCCCCAAGCATGCTTGGTACTCATTTATCGACCCACTGAAGGGATGAAAGGCTGAGTCAACCTTGCCCGGTCCGAGGATCGAACCTACACAGGAGTGCGGAGCACTACCATTCAGCCACCGGGCATCATACATAATAAATAAAACTGCTTTTTAAACACAATTCAGTATCTTTCCAATATCATAGGCAAAATCAATAGGTATTTTTTATACTAAACATTTCTATAAAGTAGAGCAAAAAGTCGATTAATGCCTTGCATACGGTTTATTGGATAACATATATATATCACATTATAGTTGGATAACACATACTCAAGTTCAGTTTTCTTAGCACTTTTAACTATAAAATTATATAGATAATATAAAAATGATATAAGTGATTTAACTTTTAACTAAAAAATGATTTTTACAGTTTAATTTGAAGGAAGAATTTCATCCACTATGTGAACATTATATTTGATAGGCTATATAAACCCTCCAACTTCTTTTAAAAAAATAGGTTAAAATCAACTAACAATCGTTGTAATTTTTAGGAAGATTTAAAGTTAACTTAAAAATGAAATTAATAATCTTGCCAATCACTAATTAAATTAATTATTATAATAAAATGCCAAATTTGTACTATAGATATATTCAGTTCTAGACTCAATGAAGACTTAACCTATGTATCACGAATCGACTATATATATATTTTTTATACATAATTAAAATATTTATGCCAAACAAGAATATTGAAATATAATACAAAAAATAAATTATTTCATACGCATACGCTACATAAAAAAATAATTAAATAACCAGATTTTTTTCACTCATTTTGAATCAAAGAAAATTCAATCAACCATTTGTAGATACACAAAGATAACAAACAACATATAATAAAATAACTTGATTTTCATAACCATTATGAATAGATGAGTACATTCTAATGAGTATGTATATGAGTAATGTATAATGTATGAGTACATTCATAATAAAATGTTCGTTCTGTAAAAGTAATTTCTCATATACTTAGTACATAAATAAGGAATTAAAGAGGATATTTTCAAAAATTAAGCCAATACTTATAAGGAATTTAAGCTAATACATTTAAAAAGCAGAAGAGACATTCTAAAATTATGACATATTATAAAGAACGCTGGATGTAGGTCGCTAAAAAATGTTAAAGGAAAAGTAAATAAAAACACACATATTCAAATCTGCAATAAGTACTTACAATGCAAATAAACACTATAATATAAATATAGATTCTCAACTTGACTACATAATGTTTAATTCGAAAAATAATTGCGTTTTACTTGGAAATATAAGTGCCACGCCATTAATGTTGAGAAATCAACAAACAAATTGTCACGTGATAAAGTGCTTCACTGTTATTGGCTATAGATATGAGAGTTAGCGATAGGGCAACGAGGATTCCAAGGCTAAGTCCTTTGTGTATTGGCTTATGAGTCTTCACTTAAAATCTTAAAATACGAAGAAATAAATAAGTGAAAGCGTTCCATCCGTTTGTGATTTGGGAAATAAGTAGTTTATTTTATTTCATAAAAATTATTTGTGAAATTTTCTTGCAATTAGCAAAGTAAAATATCCAAAAATGAAATTTGTCGTGCTCGGTTATATTCGAGTTCTTTTGGGTGCTCTATGTTATAGGGTTACATTTTAAACAAGGGAAGAAAGCATTGTCTTCAAATAAGTACTAAAAGGATTTTTTTTTTTTTTTAAATCTTTATCTTATGTCTACATCATTCTACAGACTACTTACAAATCATTTTTAAAAATAAAATAAAAATTCTAACCATATTATACGATTATCTAAAAAATTAATAATAAAAGAAATGACAAAAATCGATTGATATTATATCTATGTCATACGTTTACTTTCAGAAAATAATAATAAATGACAAAAACTGTTTCAAACTCTATCCATGTTATACATTTTCTTTAGAAAATAAACAAAAAAAAGTTACAAAAATCGGTTTATATTCTATGCATACACGATCGGTAATAAAAGAAAAATTCACAAAACTCGGCTCATCTTTTATCCATAAAGTCATGAGCGTTAATCTTCTCCATATTTAAGTAAAGGTGTTCATAATTTTGTGTCATCTTGTGAGATGTAACTCTTTTCTACAGTTTATTTCAAACTCGGTAGATTTGAAGCATGTGGAATTTAAGGTATGGACAAAGATTTTTTGGATGACAAATTATTTAAAACTCTATTTCTTACGTTAAATGAACTTTTTAAACCACCAATAATTTTTAATGACGATTTAAATTTGAACTTACTTTTAACACTTAACTCATTACAGTTATCAATCTGTGAATTTTATTTCGAAATTAATTATCTGGCTAATAAGCCTTTCGACTATGATAAAAATAGATGCACTAGTTTAAACGAAGGTTGCATCCAGTTTATATTCAACTTAAAAATAGTTTAAAACTCTGTTAATGCTCGAAGAAGAAAAAAAACTTCTATACATTTTCGAAAATCAAATTTTTGATTACCTTTTTTTATCTTATATTTTCTCCCTTTAAAAGACAACAAATTTTAGTCAAATTTTAATATTTACTAGTTATCCTGAAAAAAAGAAAAAAACATAATCTTGAGATCCACAACCATAGCATTGACGCCATAGCGCATAGCATTCCATAGCTGACGCCATAGCATTGACGTGACAATATTTATTTTTTTATTCTATTTTATATTTTTTTATTTTTTCATTTCATTTATTAATTTATTTATTTAAATTTTTTTTACTTCCGGATTTTTTTATAAATACTCGGAATACTCAATTGATCTGAATTTAATTTTTGTGTCGTATTTTTTCGAAAAAGTATGACATTAGTGCATAATCTAGTTACCTCATAATCTACATAAATCTAGTTGTGCCCTCGTCATTGAAAAACCCATTTTTCAATCATTTCTCACGGAGTTTCTATTTCCGAATACTCCAATTTCATCAAAAGTTGAGAGATAAGACTCGTGTTAGCTCATTTTCAAAAAATTCTCACACATTTCTTTTATAAAAAACAAAAATTCAAAAGATATAGCTGTGGACCATAGGAGAATTTTGCTCGAAGAAGGAAAAAAAAATCAATTGTAATTACATAATGTAGAAACTAATAATCTAATTTTTTGAATACATAAAAAGTACGATTAAAGCGTAATAACGATAAGTTGGACATCTAACTTGTGGAAGTACTATTTGATTATCTATATTGAAGAAGAAAAAAAAGAATGCCGCCGTCACCACTATTTCAGAAAATTTTCACTGAGCATGCTTCTTACTGTCATAATTCATAAACAATTAGATGAGACAATGGAATCTGATATATAAACTACATTATGACCATTAGTAAAAATATTCCGCTAAAAAGTCTAAGATTGAAGGGTATAAATTACTAGATAATTTACGCTTTTTTAAATAGGCAAGCTAAGTAAAATTGCTGAAAAATTCATTTAACTTTGATTATTATTTTATGGCAATTTTATAACACATTTCAAAGCGACCCAAAAAACTCCTCTGGCTTTTGTCGACTATTTAATTTTTGTATTTGAAGTAGTAATAAAATTGAAACTTATCGCGTATTAAAGCGTATGGGTAGTCAGGACTGCTCCGCCCCATGTACCAGCCCTAAGTGATAAAAAAATTTATATTTTGCCGTACAATGCGCAAAGAATTAAACGAACCACCCTAGATAGCTTCTGATCTAATGATGGGATCTTGACCCTCTAGGACTTAGTATTAATGATTCGAAGGTTGCTTTTGAGCCTTGGCGTGTCAGAAGATAGAGCGCTCGTCTCTAAATGAGTTGTGCTGGGTTCGAATCCCAGCGAAGGCTAATCGATACGAATTTCGCCATCGACTACAATGCTGCCTTAAAATATCCTCAGTGATTGACGGATCATGGATTAGAGCCCCCTTGCTGTTGGGTTAGCTGTGGGAGGTTTTCGTGGTTTTCTACTCCATGTAACTCAAATGCGGACTAATTCCATGAAAAAGTATTTTACGAAGGCAAATCTCCCAATACTTGTTTATGGATTTTCTATTCTTATGGAATGAGTTAAAAATTACAACGATACGAAGTTGAACAATGGAAGCCGTAAACTCAGAATTGAGAAACCAAAGAACAGGTCGATTCGTGGATATCTTCGGAAGATGAAGAGTTCTTCGACGTGCTATTCGAATGCTCCCAGAAAGATGTGAAAAGTAAGCGTCTAGTAATGGAGAATACCTTGAATAAAAGATTATGAGCACCGTTTTTTCATAATAAACTGTTAATTTTTGATAGAAAACGAAAACTTATTGGCGGAAACTTATTTATACTCCCAATAATTGTGTGCTAAAATTTTTCGATTCACATGGAGACATGGTAAAATATGGAAAAAAATAAATTTAACATTATGGTGTCCGTATTTTAGACCGTTCTCCCGACTAAACTATTGGGACCCTATTTCTCAGATTACGGGGGCTCAGAAAACTGAATCCGTATTAAAAAAGGATATGTTTATTCAGAGAATGAACGTTTTTATGACTGATTTCGTAGCCTAAATCAACACCTACACTAATTCATTAGCAAATTTTAAATTATCTCCTCGAACCGTTAAGATTGAATCTTAGAACACAAAGATCCGATCATTAGATCAAAAGTTATTCAGAGTGGTCCAGTTTTTTTCTCGCACTGTACATAAATTGTTGCACTTAATTTGTAAAAATAGCGTTTATAACTTAAATCAATATGTGAAATAATTTATACTGGGACAGATGACAGGGAAAGTTGTAATAGCGCAGAAAAAGGTATGCACAAGTTTTATTTATGCTGGGTGTTTGAGGTGCTGGTGTCTCTTCAAGTTGCAACACAGTTTTGGAGGAATCATCGAAATTAATCGTAACATTATAATATTCTGAATATTTATTACTTTTCTGAACTTTTTCTGGTGTTTTTCCCCCTTAAAAAAGTAAATATAAAAAATATTAAAAAAGCTACCTCAGATTAACTGATGGGCCAAGTACAACTATCAGACTCTGCCTTTTAATTAAAAAATTAAAGAAATAAATAAAAATAACGACTTTAGACTAATTGATGCGTAAAATACGACTGTCAGACTCGGACTTTAAATTATTTGAAAATGGTGCAGCTGAAGGCATCGATTCGATTTCGATAAATTTCACATTTCAAAATTTGCAAGTCTAAAAATTAGAAAAAAAGATACTCTAAGTTTCTTTCACATCGCTTTACATCTACAGAAGCCATCGCGCTTAAATCCATAGAAATCGAAACATCCACATAATTTAACTGTCAATGCTTTGAAAATAAATATAAAAAAGAGAAAGAAATTCATAAAAATATGTACACATCTCTCGATCATTGATAAAGTGAAAATAGTACAACATTTTTATTGAACTGATAACGGGGATATTTACAGTTTTGACGAGCGTATACTTAACTATGCAATAAATTTCCGACTTTAAACGTTGATAATTTTATTCCTATTCTATAATTTTAACATTTTCTTTATTTTAGCTTTTTGTTTAGTTTTTATTAAAATATGTTATTTTTAATAAAATTCGGCTCCAGTCAACTATTTATAGGAAAGAATTTTGCTTTTATATATCGTTAACACTCATTTTGCATTACACAGGACTATTAATAAGAAGGAATGTTATTTTTTTATTCATACAAAATTGCTTAAAAATTAATTAAGGCTTTCTTTTTTTATTATAATATTGATAAGTTTTGTGAAGATTTAGTTAGATTTAAGGTTTAACTAAGTAAATTTAACTGAAATTAAAAGGTAAACTAAAGTTAAAGAAGTGGGAAAATGACTAACGAGAAAAAAAAGTGCAAAATCGCTTTTAAAATATCAAACAAAATATATTTGTATACCTATAGTGGCGGCATCTGTTAATTATTCTAAAAACTAATCTGTTAATTATTCTGATTCGATTCTGAAATCGCACGTGAACTAAGTTCGTAATTCTTTCAAAACAATTAATCTGCATTATTTACTGAAAAGAGTGTCTTTTTATTATTATTAAAAAAATTCCTTATGGAAAAAAAATCATCATAATCACACAAATCTAAAATTATCAAAAAATACTTTTGCTATGTAATACTTTTGCCTATAGTGGCGTCATCTGTTATTGAAAATTGCTACTGCACCTATTTCATGAAAATGAAGGTGGAAAAAAATATATTTTTTTAATAATAAGCAGCGAAACAGCGTTAATCTTATCAATATTATTAATTTATATTATTTTTATAATATTTACATTATTTAAGTTTATATGATCAGGAAAAATAAGCCTTATGATAATTTTAACTGAAATGATTTTAAAAAATTATTTGT